TATTATACCGTTGGCTACGGTCGGAATGATTCCAGAGAGTGCAAATGACCCCTTTTTTACGGGCTTACCCTTATACTCAGGACTCCAACAGTTTGCAAGAAGGTTTTTTGCAAGGTTTCCGGGTAGCTATTCAGGTCCCAGGATTAGTACCTCTGCTCGTAATTCTGCATTTGCTCGCAAACATCCCAACATTCTGCAGTCAAAAATTGATCATGAAGTTGCTTTTGGGTCGCGTTGCTGGCCCGTTTTTGTCCCAGCCTCTTCTTCATTGCTGTTATTCACCTATGGGGCCTGGTGCCCAAAGAGACTCTAGGTGAATTTCGGTTAATCCATAATTTGTCCTCCCCTATCGGCAAATCGGTGAATGATTTCATTGATCCCGCAGACACCCACCATTTCATACACGAATTTAAGTGAGGCGATAACTATGATCGCAGTGCCCTGATGGCTTCAGATATTAAGTCCGCTTTCCATGTACTTCCCGTCCATCCAAGCGATTTTTATTTGCTTGGTTTTTCCCATAACGGCCAATTTTATTTCAATAAATGTATGCCTATGGGCTGAGCTATATCCTGTGTTACGTTCGAGCGGTTCAGTACTTTCCTTGAGTACTGTACTCGCAAGGTAGCCGAATCTCCTAACATTGTGCATTATCTGGATGATGTCCTGTTCGTTGGGGCTAATCATGCCGAGTGCGCACGTTCCCTCCAATCTTTCAGAGTAGTTTTTCAGCGATTTGGGGTACCTATCGTGGGAAAAAAAAACGAAGGTCCAGCTACGAACCTCACTTTCCTGGGTTTTAGCGATCGATACGGTTGCACGACAGATTCAAATCCCGACTGATAAGCAAGTTGCTTTACAAAGTGCGATTGTTAGTTGCTCGATCAGAAGAAACTCACGCTGCGCAATGTTCAGTCCCTGCTAGGTCGTCTCAATTTTGTTTGTAAGACGGTAAGACCTGGTAGGGCCTTTCTCCGTCGTTTGCATGATCTAGCTAGGGGTATCTCCAAACCTCATCACAAAATTCGCATCACTTCAGGTGCACGAGCAGACTTGCTCGCATGGCAGCAGTTTTTGTCACATTTCAGCGGAACGATAATGTTTCCAGATTCGGTATGGTACAATAGTGACCAATTGCACATGTACACTGATGCTTCTGTTGAAATTGGCTTTGGGGCTTACTTTGCTGCGCACTTGGTGTCAAGGGAGGTGGCCCGAGCATGTAAAAAGTCAGTCCCTTTCTATTGCCTGCTTGGAGTTGTTCCCTGTTGTGCTAGCGGTCCAGTAGTGGGCTGTCCCATTGCATAATAAACGTGTGATATTTTTTTGTGACAATCACGCTGTAGTTAGTGTCATCAACAGACAAACGTCTAAATGTCACTTAATGATGCGTTTGGTGCGCCGCCTCGTGGTGACATGTCTCACATATAATATCCAGTTTCGATCTCAGCGTGTTCCATGCCTGGATAATGGCATAGCTGATGCTCTTTCACGTTTTCAGATGTGGTCATCTGATTTGGTCATCTCGCACCCGCTGGCAGACCGCGATATGACCCCCTTACTCGACAACCTGTGGAGTGTCTTCAGTTAGAGGTCCAGAGCCTTTTGCATGACGCGGTGGCCCCCGCACGAACTTGTCTTATCAGGGGGCTTGGCATCTTTTTTTAATGTTTTAGTCAAACCCACGGTTCCGACGCCGTCAGATAATTCGTTTTATTGCATTTTGTCGGTATCTGGGTATGCCCCCACAACGATTACCTCTTACGTCTCGGGGGTTTCTTCCAATTTGCAGTTAATGAGTTATCCTGATTTAACTAAGCATTTTCTGGTCAAACGTTTACTGGAGGGATGTCGTAGGCGTAGTAGTCGTCGCGACCGACTAGCACTTATGATATTTTATGTTGTATGGTCCCAGCTTTGCAGGCAGTTTGCTCGAGTAAATTCGAGGCTCGACTTTTCTGAGTGGCTTTCTTACTTGGTTTTTTTTGGTTCCTTTCGCATTGGGGGATTTTTACTGCCCAATCCCACCAATCTTCTAGTCCGTTGTGTCGTAAAAGACTCCCCTCCAAGGGTCGAACTTGTCCTACGTCACTCCAAAAAACAGATCAATATGGCCATGGTTATGTAGTTTCCAGCCCAGCAACGCATAGCAGGCACAACATGAAGTGCCCCGTCCGGGCGACTGTCTTATCTTGCCTGTTCCATATCCCCCAACGGCCCGTTTTTGTCACATTTCCATGGGCGTCCTGTCGCGCGTTACCAATTTGTCGCGGTACTCCGTCATGCCCTTGAGTTTACAGGGCTTTACGACGCCAGATTTACCTCTCATTCTTTTCGCATAGGGGCAGCTACGTCTGCGGCTATGGCAGGTGTGTCTGAGGATGATGTTAAAATTTTGGGGCGTTGGAAGTCTGGGGCTTACCGACGTTACATTTGGATTCTCCCAGCTATTTTGCCATTGAACGCTACATGTTGTATTAGTACTTAAGTACTTTGCTTGTGTTTTTGTTCCGATTTTCTTTTCATTTTTCTTGCGAAAATTGGCCCCCCTGCCAAAGCCAACTGTGTCGGCCCTTGGGGAGAGCGCCTTAATCGACTGGCCTATCTGGATGGGACTGCGAAGACTCCAGATGTTCCAGTTCTCCGATTTCCTGTTGGAAGCGTCCTGCTTCATCATCCTGCAGTTTGGCGCCAACGACCTTGTACACAAACATTTACTAGCACGGTAGTGCATCAATTTGGCAAGAGAAGCACTGCCGTACACTGTCATTTTTTATTCCGAGTAACTGCCCCGCCAAATTTACTCACGCCCTAAAGCAGAGTTCCCTCGAGCGTACGCGACGTTCATTCATTATTTCGATACGCTCATGGGGGTGTTATTTGGCACCCTAGATCCAGTGGTCGTCCGCGGACGAATCATGCAGACGAATTTCATTCGACTGATGACAGTTGTTCGGCGCCATATTGATTGCCTGTTGCATCTCCCTTTAATACCACCACCTGAGGTCTATTTGGCGGCGGTCATGTTGCCGACTTTATTTTCAGCAACAAGCCAGTTTGACGTGAATTTCATTCAGGGACCGCAAATTGACCTCGTTTTTAAGGCACTGTATTCTTAGTAACCACACTTATGGGAATGTGCCGAAAGGAAGGATCCTTTGTCGGGGGAGTCATTACATTATTAAGGGCCAAATTTAGAAAAGCCATTTCGTACTAATTTCTGTCGTTTGACATAAATAAGCTGTAAATGGTTGTTGAAAATGCTCATTAGTTGCCCGTTATTCCAGCAACCCAGTGTAAGTCCCAAGTTGGGCCGCACCTCGTGGAGATTGCTGTCCGATCCCATCGTTTGATGGTCGGCCCAAAGTTATTGTATGCTGAAGTAAATCCTTGTTAATATGTTCACGAAACTTGGGTAATTTTGCATTCTGCCATGTAATTGCTGTTTGAATTTGCATATCGAAGGCTTTGTACCGTGCAGGTACATTCCAAAATTAATTTCCCGCTCCATGTGCTTTGGGCGGAAACCAAGCTGATATGATAATTGTTTTTCATACATTTTTTTGCTGATAGCTCTATGTATGTGTGGCTGTTTTGCGTCACCAGGCTCGGGCGGGAACAATCTCTGTAATTTTTGCTGAATAGCTACACTTTGCCTGAAACGCAATGTAAAATATACAGCGTCACCAGCTTCGGGTGGGAACAACCTGAACTGTGTCAAGTTCAATAAACGGCTGCTCAGGCCAATCGACACAAAAATTAGAATGCGAGTGTCCACCTGTCCCTGAGTTCAGTTCTCTGGTCCTGTGCATGCGGGGGGATAAATACAATGGAAATAGCAGATGAGTCTGAACTAGCCTGTCGCGATTGGGGGCTAATATAAACTCGCATTAATTCGGACGAAGCAGAAAATTTGGGCGGTAAATATAATCAGCGTTTCGTCTTCAAAAAGCCCAAATTTAAAACGAGCAAAATATTTAAAGTGTGGATGTCAAATTAACCACGGAACAAGCGGGGTTAGTCGAACGTAAAAACCGAAGTTACCAAGTTTTGGCGGCTAAGATTTTCTAGGGGCAAGCCGCTACGTGCTAGTATTGCCGCCTGTTAGACCTGTTTAAAATCTCCAAGATGTTTCAATGGTTAAACTTCATAAAGAATAGGAAGATTTTTAAAAACCCTTTTACTATAAATGGAGATTCACACTTTTTATTTGTCCCAGAATCCTCAGACATTTTAATTGAAAAAGGTCATCGACAATTCAAAAGACGACAAGGCCATTTAAGTTAAAAACATTTTGTTTGAAAGTGGTCAGTCGAAAAACGGGCAGTAGTTTGATTTATTGCAAGTGATTTCGACAAGTAGATATTTCCGCAGTGATTTTGAAATGCCTCGAAAATTAAAATGCTTAAATATAGACGAACTGACCTTTTAAGTCACGACGGAAACCGGAGGGCTTTTTGCAAAATGAAAACGACGGTTTAATTATCGAACTTATCATTTTAACTGCGCAGTTATAAAACTTATGTTTAAAAAGATGACAACAAACGTTGAGTCAAATATCAATCCAGACGAAGCCGAAACAAATGCGACTAAAATTTACCACCTTCAAAAGATCGAAGATATTCCAGGTCAAATTTTAAGAGAACGCGAGGCGCGCGAAACTTCTAACAAAAAGATTAAAAGGCTGTTACGCGCTCAATTATGTAGAGTACAAGCGTGGAAGCCGTAGGCGCGACTTTGCAGCCATTCCGCTATTCTTGGGAGTATTTACCGGACCCGTGGGGCTCGCGATGGAAGGCCTAGCCATAGGCGTATTGGGGGCTTACGCGATTTTAAAGTACACCTCCCGCAGGTTGACCCATAAAACTAAAAAGCACGATCAAATTCACAAGCTCGCAGGCGCCAAATTGAACTTTTGGATTGGGGAATTCAACATGTAATTTACCTTTATAAATGAAACGGATTTACATCTGGACAGATTCAGATGATGACATGTATAATTTAAGTGACAAATATCTTCACACTGTGTTTTATCTCTTTTTAATTATACAAAACAAATACAATTATGTCGTACAAACTGGGAAAACTCGTAACACTAACTCTTCACCTTTGGTGAATAATAATGACACATGGGGAAATGGAGCATACAGTTTATGTAGGAGCGTGAACAAAAACACAGCTAAATATAATTGTTTTCATGTATTTAAAAGAATATCTTGTGATCTTTTGTTAAATGTACCTGTTTTTTAATTTTACGTGTGTTATGAGGAAAGCCCTTTGTAAGTGATTTATTTTACTTCTGGGCAATCTTGCAGGTCTTTGTGTGTGCTTTACTGTCTTCTTAATTATTTGGATTTTGCCCGAAAATCGAAATACATAAATGGATCCCATTTGGCAGTGATTAGCACGTTACTGCGCACTTTAAAATTGGGTCTACAATTTAGAAAACACATTCGATAAAGCAGCTGGGTTACTGTGAAAATGACTTTTTTTCACCCCAAAAACTATGTTAAACTTGTAACACAAATTTATCTCTTTTTTTTCATCTGAAGCAAGTGAACAAGTGTTAAGACTGGAATTCTGCTTTCTCTAATTTTGTATCGGTGGAGGTAAACTATACATGTACCTGGACTGTGTCAAGAAAAAACAGGTTGGAGGTACCTATTTTGGAAAATGGTTGTTGGTCGACAAATGTACTTGACAAATTCCGTACAGAATGAGTAGACCAAATTCCGTGCTTTTATCATGGATTTTCTATTATTTGCTCTGCTGTAAAAAGATTACTAAGATCATGGAGGAAGGACATGGAAGGAGTTACAACTCTGGCACGTCAAAGTGCTCGATGATCATCGCCGCCCGGTCAGACAAACAATAGTAATCATTCCAAAAATGCCTGATTACTGCCTGTAGCTTAGCTCGACAAGCGGGACCAGTTATATCCTAGCAATATTTGTGGAGTTTTCTTTGCAATTAACTGCAACTTGTCGCAGTGACCGGGAAAAAGAAAGAAAATATCTAGCAATAGATTTACTTTAGCCGTCGTGAATAAATTGTTTTTAAAGATTTTGATGCACTTTTCCATTATCCATGCAATGTTTGTAATTTTATTTTGTCAGCGAATGATTGCGGCAATGATCATGGGGTAAAAAGGGGGCTTATGGTTATGAAACAGCTGGTGCATAGCAAGCATTCACTGTGCTCTGGCTATGGACATACCAGACATGACAGAAAGCGGTAATTGGCCAGATGTTGTAGCCTGGGCAGTTCAAAGTCCTTTTGTGTCCTTCCTCCATGTTAAGATCAATCAATGAGAACTATACAAAGAGTGGTGCCACATACTCGACATAGCCTAATCTACAAATGTTAAATAACGGACATTACAAAGTTCAGGTAGGCATGCTCTAGCTTTTTGTTATACATGTATTTTATTTGCGAAGAGGCTTTTCCATGGTGACTATTCTGTGATAAAAAGTGAAAAAACACATGAAACTTCTTTTGTCTTGGGTTATAAAATTCACAAGCCCTGTTCTGTTTTCTTACAGGAGAACTGCTTTCGACAGTTGTGCAGCTCAGTTTTTTAAAGTTAGCTATGACAGATGTGTACCCCTCCGACCGATTTTATGGAAGTTGCTTTTCAAGATAATCTTACCTACCCCTATAAAACTCTATAGAAAAACCTCTATAGAAAACTAGATAAACCATCAACACAAATCATTTGAGAGTCCAAACAGTTTAACAGTGCCAGCATCTCTATCTCTGTTGTACTTATCTTTATCATCACACGCAAATGCCAGCAAATGTCTCTTGGGATGCCATGAAACTGTGAATGTTGGACTTTCACACTGGACTTCAGTGATCTTCTCACCTTCAATAATTGAAAAAAAAAACAGTCATCTAGTAATTAAAACAAGCAATATTGACAAGGAGGTTTGAAAGGGGGTTGGAAACAAGCGAACTGCTTGTTAAAACACTTGCTATTGCTTAAGGCCAAGGTTGATGTGGTTAGCAGTCACCTTGGCCTGTAACCCTTAAGGTCTACAATCAACAGGCTATCAGATGAAAGCAAGAACAACCCTGGCACTAAGTTTGAGCCTGATTTATGTCCAGTTCTTGAGTTATGGTCAAACAATTATTCCAATTGTTTGACTCACATTTTGCTACCCAGGTTTCTTGAGATAGATAAGTCATCCAAAACCCCAACACAGTGGATATACTGACAAAAAAAGAGGACCTGAGGAATAAGTGGCATTTTCTTTTCAAAGCGAATCAGACTGAAATCTGAAACATGTGACGCAAACTCGTGTGTGTTGTGCTTCGACTCATTGTATAGCAGACATGCATACCTTGCTCGGTAATGCTTTGTTACAGATTTTTTTGATGTGACAAGGATGATATATATATAGAAGCTTATCCTAATTGTTGTCAGAATAATTGCTACATATCAGTATGTAAACACAAATCCACTCATGTCTGGCAACAGACTAGTCATTAACTACAGAAAATTTAGCATTTGGTGTAGAATTGAGACAACTGTTTCTCGTCGGCTGTTTTACGGGCCTTGTTTTAGGTCATTTTCCCAGTTCAGACTTGTGATTTTTTTCAGTGTTATTGCAACTCAAATAATCCTCAATCTTATCTAATAAAAGGTGGTCAGTAATCCACCTTGTGCGTAGGAGACACGACAAAATGTTTTGAAATTTAAACTTTTTAAATTAGATCTTTTTAGGATCGATGAAAGTAATGACGACACTTTTCCTTGTGAGGGTGAGACCACACTAACTTCGGTAAGTATTACATATATATGTACATGTGTATGGCAAATGGCACGCATATTTCACTGCATCAACACATGCATGTATGCATTTATACGTGTATACATACATTGTATGTATCTAACTTTATGCATGATATTGAGTATGTAAGTCAAGTACAAGTAAGGAGTCCTTGTTTTTTGCCCTTTCAGAAAGATTCTGCTAGGATTGAAACGTCAGGCCCTCAATGGGATTCCTTGACGTTCATTCTTAATATGCACCATGACGCACCATTTTCAGAGTAGAAGAATATCTGGTTTCATCCAATGAAATGGACCTATCTTTGCATATAGTAGTAGGATTTGTTTTGCTAATGTGTCCTTTGCTGAATTCGAAATGGGAAGGAGTTTTGTGGAATTCTTGGGCCCCCAAACACTGCCAAGTATGAGTTTATTTGCACCCATTACAATACCATATTAAAATTAGTGTAACCAGTCAACTATTCTAGTCACCTGGTCCCTCCACTTCTTCAACATTCCTTATTCACTTCCAGACTACAGAATTCTTCTTTCTATACATGTACCCGGCACCTCAAGAACAGACTTGCACTTATACCCAGCAAGAAATGAGACCGAGGGGTACCCCCCAACATGTCCAATCCCTATAAACATTCCAGACTATTGTTACTTAACACATCCCCCCAAGATGTCTGAAACGAATTCCCCAGATTCCTGCGAGACAATGACCAACACAAAGCAGGGGGGTTCTCTCCGTCTCATACATGCTGCATATGTTTGCACTAGTTAACATAGACGCAGCCTTGTGTTGTGTAGCGCCCTCTCTTTTAAGCCTGCACTTTATACACTTGATAAAAATAGCTGGCAACAATACTGTGTAGTGCACTCTGTGACTTTCTTGTATTGAGTAGCACATTTGCATATTTAAAGAGCCATACATGTGCATGCCAGCATCTGGCAATAGTGATCTGAACAGTGTATTGTATCTGCCCCACATTTGTTCACTAGTATGAAAAGCTTTTGTGATTCACCCCACCCTGTGGAGTGCGCACTGCACAGAAACATCCTAATCAGATCACTCTGCTTCAGAGTCTGATTGCCTTAACATCACTTTCTGCAACTGTACTGCTACTTACTGTTACTGTACATATTGTTACATCGTATGAAACACAGCTACATGTATTTGCCTTGGTGCATACAGTACATGTACTAGTGATTGGCACAGGTCGAGGAACGCTGCATGCAATCCTTTGGGTTCCTCACACTGAAAGTGTAGCAGTTTTCTACATACTACCAGCTATACGCTGTTGGGTGATATAATTGACTGTCTTTTTTTAAATTTGTATATATATAAATTCTGTTACATTGTGAGGCGCTGTACAAATTGTAAATAAAATACTGAATGTAGTATTTGTGCCACCACATTCCCTGTTGTCCTTATTTATTTATTTACTTTTAACTGAGTCCTACTACCACTCGGTTACATTAATTTTAGAAACAATTGTTTGAGATTGATAAAATGTCCGAAAGGGGAACAAGAACTCAAACCAGTGCTTTTTTTTTCTTTGGTCGAGCTTTTTAGCACCAGCACTCAATGTAAAGAATGTGTGAACAAAATATATTGTAAACCCTGCTCAGTATTAAACTGAACGAAATTTATTGAAAAATGAATGGACATTTCACTCATAGTAATTCATAGGTTTGAGTACAACTTGGCCTTCTCCCCCCAAAAAGACAGGTTTAGCATCCCAGCCAGCCCCATTTCCATTTTCCTATCTCTCTTTCTTTCTATATACTTTTTTCTTTGCATGTTAAAAAAATATTGGTAGGATCTGAAAATATAAATTTCTAATGAAAATGTGCGCCTCCTGTGTTTTGTTTTTAGGCCTTACTACCACTGCAGTGCTGTTAAGCGCAATCTTGAACATTGCACAAGTTTATAGTACTCCATCCTGGGTTGATCTGCTTTAAGTAACATCCATTCGTAGGATAATCGACTCAGAAGGGAGTACAATAAATTTTTTCAAGATTGCACTCAACAATACTATTCATATTTCACAGTGAGGGGATACATATATTACATGCATAATTCACATGTCATGCCCGTTTGCATATTTTACGTTTGCTTACAACTCTCTTAACGTATTTCTTTTTCTACCACAGTACCAACACAAACACTAACTAGCTGCTTCACCTTAACTTTCACATCCCTGTCCATCTTTAACCATCATTATCGTTGTCCATTCTGAACCCCTTCTGCTCATTTCCTACTGGTCTTTTGCTCTCACACTCACTCTCAAACCCAAGTAGGCACTGGCCATGGCATACAAATAGATGTGCTCCGTAGCACTGTTGAGCATCAAATAAGTGTGCAACAAATTGAAGAAGTGCTTATTAGATGAAGTGTCCCAAGCTTTCAGCGGGAAGCACCTTCATCAAGGGATTTAAGGCTTGCATTATCCCCTGATGAAAATGCTTTGCATAGGAAGCTTGGGACACTCCATCCGGTGAGCAATTCTTCAATTTTTACAGGCCATGGCCTCCTGTCTTAGCACCAGCAGCGCAACTGCTTTACGTGAGCTTACTGCAGCACGTCAAACTCTGGGGTCTTATTCTGATGCTTTGCATCTCAGTGCCAAAAACTGGTTAAACAAATTATGTACACTTAGAAAATTACTAATAGACTAATTTTTTAGCTCAGCCAGCAACTGCAGAAGAAAGGTAACCACTCCAAATCTTTCAATACTACCATTTCATCATTTGAGACCATTTACAGGAAAGATTTATCTTGGTTAAACCATACCAAGATAAGTGGTCTTTTTTAATTTTGGAGCAAAAGAGATTGAAATTTCTCAAAAACAAGTCAAAGCAAAGTGCTTTAAATCTTACAGATGTTTCCCTCAATATATTGTACAACCCACCAGAACAATAGACAAAGAAATTAACAGCAAGTAGCAGGCTCTCCCCATGTGAAAAGGGTAAAATGTGCAAGCCAAGAGGAAGAAACTATTTAAAAGAAGACTGATGCATGTGCCATCATTGAATTAAAAATTTTATTTCTTTAAGACCTTAAAAAGGAATAACAATCGCAAGAGTCCCAACTTCATTACAGTGATGTTAAGTTAAAGAAAATCTACTGCCACAGGCACAGCTGGGAAGCCAAAGCATTTGATCCAAAATCACAAACAAAAGAACTATCTGTCCTCTTGTGGAAGAAGAAATATTCTACATTGAGAAAAGAAGTTCAAATGGGCACAGTGAGTAGAAAATTTAAAGAGCAGAAGCTTAACCTGACGTCCATCCAAATGGAAAAAAAAACACTTCTGTTGAGAAAGCAGAAATTACAAGAAAATGATAAAGCTCAGCAAGGAGTGCAGTGCTACTATGAAAATCTCACCACAACACTCAAACAGGCTAATGAACATATAAAACACCTTGAAGATGAACACGTGGAACAGGTTGATAATGAAGACAACATGATCACAACAAAAGATGGGAAATCCTACTGCAACAGTATCTTGAAGGCATCGTGCTACCTGCAAGACCTTGGTACATGTATATCAGAACAACAAGACAAGTAACGCCATAAAGTAGTTGTCAAGACAACAACAGGAAAGAAGCTGATGGGACCCCTCCCATCTGTATCTACCAAGAACAGATTTGTCAGTGAAATGCAGTCAAAAGCGGATAAACAAACAGAGGACAAACTTGCTGGTCATTCTAATCTTACTCTTAAATATGATGGTACAACTAAATCAAAAGGCCATCTCATGAAGGTTTAGATTTCATCAGCAGACGACACACTTCTTGATGAAATGTGCCAACAGGTTGGAAAGCTAATGATTATGTTGAGACAATCCTCAATGTCTGTACAAAACCTATCCTCTCTCAAGTAAAAAACACTATGACAAATCGATGTACCACAAATGAAAGTGTAGATGGAAAGTTGGCAGAGCCACTAGGCAAAGGACAGTTGAATTCCTTTAGATCTAACATAAATGTTCTTGACTCATTTTATAATGTATGTGAGAATGTGTTCAGGCTGAAGAAAAATACAGGAGGAAATACGTGTACAAGAACATTCACCCAAAAAAGTG